TTTTTTTTTTTTAAAGCCTTGACAAGCAATCTTAAAACCTTATTTTATCAAGAAGCTTTATCTCTGATTCCAACTCTGGAGTCACTTTTTTTTTTTTAATTAGGAAAGCCCATTCTGAGTTCCACCCACATCACCAGGAATTCAGGGAGGGGAATTCCCGTGCCAGCTGCAACAAGGGGGGAGCTCCCAAGCAAGGCACCAGTCCTGGAAGACTCACACAAAGAATTCTTTCACACTACACATAACCTCCTCGGGTGAAAATAGCAACCTTGTTAGAGCAGAGGTATATTCGCTGCTCTTGGCTCGTCATAAACGTCTGGCCTGGACTTGCTCCGATGCCAGCCCTGACTCCAGCTCACAAGCAGCTCTGCCTCGGGGAAAGGATGGGTTATTTCCACAACTCTGCTGCCTCTCTCTGCACCAAGTAATCTACAAAGTCTAGTCCAGTTGCAAATTGACCCCTCCTTTGAGGCCCCTGTACCAGAGAAAGGACCCAGACGTTGAGGAATCACGAAAAATGAATGAGCAAAGAGATCAGCAAAATCAAAAAGAAATGATTCTCTGGAGGCAGAAGAAAGGGAAGAAGAGAAATTAATTCTAAAAAGAAGATCTGCTATTGATTCTTCTTTTAGCATTCTTTTGCCCTTCTTCTATTCCTTTTTCTTTCGGGGAAAGAAAAAAGAAAACTGTTGCTCTCACTTCATGGAGTTTTATCACACTGCAAAGTTCACCTGCCTACACCAACGGATCCATGGCGCTGCAGAGGCGAACAAGCATTACTAATCTATTTGCCTGGATATCACTATAGATGCAAAAAAAACCTTGTCCCTTGAGGCAAAATATCATTCATAGCCAGACTTAGGTAGCTTTAGGTAGCATCCATAAATGCTTTCATTTAGAGTTTGCAATAAAATTATCAGCGTATCCTGCCTGGCCATTCCCACCAGCCCCTCCCTCACCCATTATAGCCAACAGGCATTTCAAAGAGGAAAAGTGGTACCAAAGGGCAGCCGTTAGGGAATAAGACACCAGGAACAGTCAAAAGAAGGTACAGCTAAGATTTTACAAAACACAAAGTCAATGTTTCAGTTGAAACCTGGGATGTCGCAGTAATCCTTATGAAAAATCAGGATTATAGGTGCAAAGATTGTCCAAGTATCTAGCCCAAATCTGCCCATGATCCAAGGGCCAAAGTGTAATAAGAATCTAGGAGTTCTACCCTCATAGTTCATTTTATTTATTTCTTTAGGTGAGTCTAAGACATCTTCTTTCACTGCTTGAAACTAAGAAGTGTGTGCCAGATTGTGACTCTAAAGTGATTGACAACTGTACCCAAAGCCTGCATATGTTCAAGTATAACTTGTTGCAGGACAAGCTTACAAATGGCATTTGACCTGCAGCACAAACGTAAAGGACTTGACCATCAGTTATTTTTAAAAAATGATAAACATTACATTTTTGGATTGAACTATTTTAAGAAGAAAATAACAGACACACACATACACACACTGGCGCAAGGAAAGCAACAACAAGCCTCCTTGGCTTTGATGGTTATTTCCCCAGAATCCAATTAAATAGCAACCATCCACAAAAATGCGGCAATATTCCTTCACACAAGCCATGCATTCAATATAACGGTCAGCGCAAACTGTAGTACCTTATAACAAATTGATCAAGAACAAGAATCAATACAAGTATCAGCCACAACCTTGAATAACTTTATCTTCCAAACCCAACACTGGATATTTCCCAAACAATTGCAATTTTGCTTAAAGCAGTACATTACTAATTTTCTTAAGACAAAAAGTAGCATGTTTCTAATTTTCAACCAGTAAGGGAGAAAATCTCTGAATTGGCATGCAAGAACTTCTGCACAACTCTTTCATTCAAAAACGGAATTATTCACCTTTGCTAACTTAGAATTCTCTTTTGCAAAATAATCATAATCACAATAAATCTCCCCCAAAGCCATAACAATATTTCTACATTATTTTATTCTAGAATATCATCTAACCAGGAAACATATTTTCAAGTATTACATTTTAATTCTGTCTGAAACCAAAACCAAAACATAAAGTTGGAGGGGAAACTATGCCTTTTTTTCACATGCAGGTAGTTCATGTTGTCATAAGCCTCAAATATCCAACACCTCCTAAGTCCTTAACTAAGACATCACATCCATGATCACATCACTATTAACTTAAACATGCACAACAAAACACTTGTTAACAAAGGCAACTATTTCCAACAAATATGACATTTACCCTGTGCCATTGACAATCAAAGCATTCTGTCAAAGCATTTCATGACACTTGTTCCTCTCGCCTCTTACAATTCCTGCTTTATCTTATATTGATCTACAGATATTGCAGAACGGCACATTTCTGTTGCTGAGCAATCCTCCAATCACCTTAACTTTTTATCTGCACCTCATTCCCACCCCATCTCCAATTGCATCAGCACCCCGAAAGGCTGGCCGGTTGGTTTTCTCATACCTGCAGTTCGGAGGTGGATCCAGGGTTATTTCGGCTAGCTCCTTCTGAATTCTGTTGGCAAAATGAGAACAGGCACAAAGCATTTGAGACAGTCGAATAAATCAGGGAATTACACTGCCCTCTACCACCATGCAGTTAAATGCAAGATTGGTTTTGCCTTCTGTAATGCTAACATGGCTGCTTCCTCTTTGTTCTCACAGGCACAACCCAAATCCCAGGACAGAGAAACTTTACAGCTTTTTTCCTTCACTGTTATGGTAAACAGACAGAGCATTTACACCTTAGCCTGGCAGGAATCCCTTCAGAGGTCTCTGAAAAGTGAGTCTTAGGAGTTTTCAGCTATTCTTTATAAAGGGTTTTTTAAAAAAAAAAATCTTATATGCAAATGAGACCAGAAAGGGAGGCAAGGGGAGGGAAAGAGGAAATACAAGAAGATTTCAGAATGACTTTGTACCAATAACTGAAGGAGTTACAGCCAAAAGCAATTACACAGAAAATAACAACACTTTTGGGCTGGATTTTTTCCGACTTCAGACAGTGAATTTTAGCATTTCAGTCCACTTGATAACTATGCAGGCAAGTGATCAGAGCAAAATCTTGAGATAACTTTAGATGCACTCCCCCCCCCTTCTATTCTTTCCTCTCTCCCAATATTTGTATTGAAGATTTGCTGGTGACTCTGTTCAATAAAACAAATACTGATATTATCAGTGATGGATCCAGCCCTGATAGCGCCTCTGGACAAAAGCTATAATGTGTCAGCAACTAAAAAAAATTATCAGTTTTATCACAATTTAATAAAAGATATCAAAAGGATGGAGGTTCTGTCATTTATCCCAAGAACAAAATATTTTAGGGAGAGGCACACACTGATGATTTTAAAAGTTCAGGCAATTTATGCTTTGTCGACAGAACATTCATTACTATGACAAGTGCACCAGATATAGTTTAGATACTTTAGACTTGTACTCTACATGAATTTACACAAGTTATGGAACTAAAAAGTGGGTCGAAAATTTCAAAACACCAAATAAAATATTAGCAAAACATTCAGAGTCATTTTCTTCACAACAAACAAATTGTACAAATACTTTGTGAGAGCAGCTGGCAAGTTACTTTAAATGCATCAGAGGTCATTTTTAAAAAAGATTAATATCCTATTTTTTCAAAAGATCTATTGTAAGCATTTTGTTTCCAATTTTGTTCAATTTAGTATTTAAAATGAGAAGCTGGAAAAAGCTAATATTGCTTTCAAATAATGTGTGCAGAGCTTGAAGTACAGTGCAACATTTCAAGATTCCTAATGAAAGTCTACATTATGGTAGCAGCACATTTTGCCCACAAACATACTGGCCCACTTAATGTTGAAACTACTACTGATTTTAACAAAAAAATGGCTTGCACTTTTAAAGTTTTTTTTATGCCATTTGACAGATAGACTACTGGATAATGTAATGTGGATTCCTAGCTGAAACAGAGCTTCAGGAAAAGGGATTACTCAGTTATCTCTGAAGAGGCAAGGTTCAAGGTATTTCAAGCTTGCCCAACTCAGATGGCTATTAAAGAAAATTAAAAGCATATGTGCTTCTTTGAAAGCAAAGCTGTGAGAAAGCATATATGCAGATACTGATATTGTTCACTTAGGAGCAACCTATAAAAGGCTCTCGAGTTTTTGAAACTTCACAGATAAAAGGAAAGTCAATAGCTGGATGGACCACAAAGGTAAGAGACGGTCAAGTTAACAGCCCTTCTTGCATTTCAATTGCATACAGAAAACCCAGCCCATCCATGTTCACAAAGTAAGTTGACCTGCACGGAAGCTCTAAAAGAAACAACAGCCACAGAATTCATATAACTTGGAAAGAGTTCTTCTTTCAGAGCATCCAAAGACAGTCAACTGAAAAAACAGCCAATGAAAGTATCCTCTCATTATTTCAGGGTGTCCCCTGCACGGAAGATGGCAATCTAGATCTGGGCCTCCTTGCCTGAATGAACACATGCAGCAACAAGGTGTCACCCATGCAAAAAAAGGTCTACACATGGGCCAAGTGGGCCAAACCAGAGCCCAGCAGATGGCAAGAGGACAACCTTCCCAGGGTGCATTTCAACCCCCATCAATCACATCTGCTTTCCGTAGTAGCAGAGTTCTCAGGTGAAGAAACTGCCTATGCAACCCTCCCATCTTCAACCTGGCAAATGGGTTGGGTGAATGGACCCCTAGGAGATCTGAGCAGGAGGCCCTGCAGTAACTGGATTCTAACCCTAAAGCCATCTCTTATTACAGGCCTTGTCATCGAAGAATAAAGTTTGCCCCTTTACAATAAGTGTCTTCTCATCACGAGAGGCTTCTCTCCTGCTCCCTTTCCCCTAAAGAGAGCGAGAGAGAAGAAAGGAAGCAATCAGGTATTTGGATCTATTACCTTTTAGCACTAGTAGATAGCTTAGCAGTAGTTTTGCTGGAGAGTTTGGTATTTTTCTTCTGCTGTGTTGCAGAAGGTTTCCTTTCTTCCTGTTCCTCAGGCTCAGGTGCTGGCGGGTCCCTCTGATCTGCGTCTGAACTACCACTGCTGGTACTTGGGCTTTCATCATCTGACCTTTGTCTATCACTGGACATCTTGGGAAATGTTGGGGGAAGGGGCAAAAGGAAGGGAATGGGACAAAAGAATATCAGTTAACTAAGTGGAGTGCAATCCACTCAATGCCCTATCATTCCGAGCGGAATTATTCCAGCCCCCTTACAACTAAATGGTTGAACAATTCTTTTAAAAGTTTCAGTTTCATGTTATAGAGCAACAGTTACCGTGTTTAGGGATGGCACAATTTGAAGGAAGGAAGGATCTCAGTGTTTAAATATATATTATTCTGTTTTCAAATCTCAATTCATTTTACAAGCTCAGCTCCACAATTCTTCAGACAGTACGTCAATCACCTACTTTTTAAAGGCGTGAGGCAAATTTAGCAAAGTGTTCAAGCAATAAGCATTAATAACTCATGACACGCTGTAAAGATTGCCCTTTTTTAAAAAAAAACTCTCAAATGCCCTGTAAATATTTACACTGGAGCAGAAGGGGTCAAGTCAACCATATTCTCCTCCTCCCAATATATTGCCAATAACAATACTTGAGCTGTTATACAAATGGGGAGGCCCAAACCAAACCAATAAATGCCCCACTCCCTCTTGTCTCCTTGTATTTAAATAGCTGGAAAGGATTTGCTATTTCAGACTCCAATGTTTTTCTCTCAGTCAGAAATCAGCCAGCTCGGGTTCTGTTGGCACGGCCATCAGCAAGAATTACATTTGGTCACTACAGAGTAGGCTGGAAATGGGGGTGGAGGGAAAGAGAAAGAAAGAAGAAGAGGAGGAAGAAGAAGAAGAAGAAAAGAAGAAGAAGAAGCATAATTCAAACTGCACCTTCTGGAAAGCTTTCAACGCCACCGAGTCTTGATCAGTTTCTACAAAACAGACCGACATATTTTTTCCTGCCCCCTCTTTAAAAAAAAAAAAAAAAATCCAGGAAAGATGAAATTGGGGGTGGGAGGCGGTTGGGTTTTTGTATTGTATAATTAAAAAATGAAAAAGA